TCACAAATCCATATATACCTCCAAATAAATAGTTTTAATTACACATATAAAAAATTTTCCTCTGCCTCAATGTCTTGGCGTCGCCCCACGTTGGGCGCCAGAATTGTAACGGGGTTTTTATAATTTACAATTAACATAAACTAGGCATCTGAACCCGCCAATTCAAAATACACATTATACAACAAATCTCAAAAAGGGGATCCTCCAAAACATATAAACGTCTGATGCCGGACGTTGAGGCAGGCCAACACTAACACACTTACCTCGATGACGCTCAGCTGACTCTTGACCGACGCCGCTTCTCGAGATGTGGGAAGAATTCGCCAAGGAGAAAACTCTTATTAAAATACTCCGAATTAACTCAAAGAAAAACCATTTATTAAACACTAACTAATTTAATTAAAAGATATACAAAAGATATATATTAAATTGATTGAGGATGAGAGCACGTCCGCTCTCAATCGATCGGGTAATTGAACTGCCTGGTAGATTCCCCTGCCGGTCCTTGGATCATCCCTATGATTCCGTCTCTCTCGCTCCTATGGTCAACCCTGGCCTACGAAATAACTAATCGGCCCTATTCGCCGCCCCCCGTGAACGTTCGTACGTCACGCCTGCGTACATCAGTTTGACGATAGATTTCGCGAAAGCAACTTAATTTCTATGAAAACAATTCGATTCTAGGTCGATCAAAAAACTTAATCTAAAATGAGTCCAGAATAATCTGAAATTTGTAGGTAAAATGTTCGGTCTTAATCTGTTATAACATTCTAAACCGAAATGAGTGCGGAAAAGACATTGTTGCTGACTAATACCAGATTTTTTACATACAGATTTTCAATTAAGATTTTATACCTTATTAAATCCGAATTTGTTACACACACATTGCCGACTAATGTGGACTCCTTTCTGATTAAGATTTTTGTTCTGACTGCGACTGCTGATTTTGTACATATTAATTCCCAATTTTTCCACACTCATTTCATATTAGGATTTTTTAACAGATTAAATCAGGATTAATGTGAACTAATACCAGATTTTCTACATAAAGATTTCAGATTATTCTGGACTCATTTTTGATTGTTTTTTTGTCCTGTCGTTGAAGTCTGAGTCTATCCATTCCTGCTTTCCTGAGCCTACCGGTGGTTTGTTGCCCTCCGACCTATGGATCTCATTTCTATCATCGTCTCCCTCATCACCATTATTTTGTATAATGTTTTTAAGGATCTCCTCTGCGGTCTGTATCCAGCCGTCAACTTGGATCAAACGACTGCAGACGTTTCTTCACTTTTTGACCCAGAAGTCGAAGTTCCACATAATCTAGCCACTTGTTTGAGAGTGACGTTAGATTTGTTGGTCTAGAAAAATGGTTTCACTAAAATCATTTGACGTATAGTCGCCTAAGCACTACAATTTCACTTTCCACAACATTTCTTCAAATTTAAATGTTTTTTTCTAAAAAAGTTTCAGAAGTTAGAATTGAAATGGATTCAGAAAAAAATACTATCTTTGTCCAAAAAAATTTTTAAAGTTAAAACTGAAAAGTATTCAGTAAAAAAATATTGTAAGTTTCTAAAATTCCAAACATGCTCATATCATGAGTTACAAACGTATTGGACAGAAATCGAATTCAAAAACAGTAAATAATTTCCACTATTCCATACAAAGGTTCAAGTATTTCAATCCTTCTTAATACTTCCCCTCTTACCTGGAGAACATGTACATTTTCTTGTACAAGTTTATTTTCTGATACAAGTTCTTGTGCAAATAAAGATCTTGTACAAATTCTAATACAAGAATTTGTTCCAAATTCTTGGGCCGAAATTGTACATTTTCTGAATCAGAACTGGCACAAGTTCAGATGCTGAACTTGTACATTTTCTTGTATAAGATCTTGTACAGGAATTTTCAGTAGAGATTTCTACATAAGAAAAACATATATTTGATAACTAAAATAAATAAAAAACTAAAATAAATAAATAAAACTCAAGTATAACACAATGACAACACGAACGGCAGCGCTATGTCCATTTCATTATCGATTACTTTTACTCATACAGCTACAAATATTTTAGGATGTTTTATGAACCTACTGCTGAGAATTTGGAAATTAGGATATCTAAGTAAATCTCTAAAACATTCTACGAATATCCTATTTTCCAAAAGCCAAGTAGGATATCCTGAATATTCAAATCCCTAAGTCAATTCTGTATATCATTCATAATATATTTTATGCCACTTAAATACAGCAGTTTTTTGTGTCAAGATTTTAAAGCTTTGATAGATTGCACTTTGTTTCCTTTTATTGTTTTTTTGAAGTATTTACTCATTTCACTTAAATTAATTGTAGATTTTTAAAGATATATTTCGATTCACTTTATAATCTATAAAAATAATTTAAAGTTTTTGATACTCTACAGAATGTTAAATACGACTAAAGTTAATAAAAATTTAATTATTAAATAATGATCACTTTCTACATCGTTACCAAAAACAATGCTCTTTTTCATTTAAAAAAAATAATTAAAAATTTTAAAAACTGTTCTTTTGTGTGCAACTGCTGCTCCACCTTGCAAAAACACACAGCACTATCACACCACATACATAGCAAAGTAGCTGAATTTTTCACCGTATTACATTATTATAGCCTATATGAAAAATATTATTTTAGCAAAAAATTTAATGGTACATTTATTTAACATACCCCAGTGGGAAATTGCCAAGACTGAATATTGGCTAAATGTTGGACCAGTTATTTTTCCCAATATTGGTCCAAGGCTGGGAGTGTAGAGACCAATGCCAAGGCTCGAATTTCAATATTGGCCCAACATTCAAAAATACAAAAAAACCAGATTTCAGCCAAGATTAAAAAAATTAATTATTAAAACTGAAATATAATAACATTTTTTGTTATATTTATATATTATATTTTATTATATATAATAACATTATTATTTCCCTTCGGATCAAGGGTTATATATAAAATCATCCTCAATAAACGGAGAAAAAGAAAAAAATTTTCTAACGTCATGCTAGCCATTAACAATTATCAGCTAAATAAAAGAGATATTGTGAAGATTATGTACATATCGCGGATACTTATACCCTAACCGATTAATGTTGTTTATGAGAGAGAAAAACACTGCCATCTGGCGGATAGTTGGAAAGTTAACGTAGCGCGAAATTCAAATTGCGTGAAGGAAAAACTGTAAGTATATAAACATTTACTTGAAAATGTATTTACTTAAGAATGCATACTATTGCATTAAACAAAACTTAATTAATGTTATAATGGTCACAAATAATTTTTTTAATTTTAATTCTTTATACTTACAGTTTTTCCTTCATGCAGTTTGAATTTCGCGCTACGTTAATTTTCCAACTATACGCCAGATGACAGTGTTTTTCTCTCTCATAAACAACATCAATCGGTTAGGGTATAAGTATCCACGATTTGTACAGAATCTTTACAATATCTCTTTTATTTAGCTGATAATTGTTAATGTCTAGCATGACGTTAGAAAATTTTTTTCTTTTTCTCCGTTTATTGCGGATGATTTTATATATAACCCGTGATCCGAAGGGAAATAATAATTTATTATATATAATAAAATATAATACATAAATATAACAAAAAATGTTATTATATTTCAGTTTTAATAATTAATTTTTTTAATCATGGCTGAAGTCTGATTTTTTGTATTTTTGAATATTGGTTGAATATTGGACCAATATTGAAATTCGAGTCTTGGAATTGGTCTCTACACTCCCAGACTTGGTCCAATATTGCCTAAAATAATGGACCAAGATTGGCAAACGTGCTCCCAATATTGAACCAATATTTAGCCAATCGTGCTTTTCCCACTGGGACATATACCACGTGCTTTCATGTGCTTTATGTAAAAAGTCAGTTAGTAGTTTATAGATTTTCTTGCTTCCAATCAATACTTGTCTGCTCTGATTAAAATAATCAGTTTCTATCTGAATCTATATTTATATCCGTCTCTATCAACATGTTATTTCAAATCAATCCCTTCGTTTCGAAAACTGAGTTTTAATTATTTTTTTAAAGTAATAAAATACAGTTTTGGATTGGGAGCGGATTGACCTATAATGAAATAGAAGGATATACGAAAATTATAATTTAGGTGCTGAAGAAAATAGCGAATCAAAGCAAAATTACCTGAATATAATCCGATTCTTTTATCAGGATAATTATCAAAATGAGTACAGCGACTGACGTTTATTTTCTAAAAAAACACATGATTTTTTATCACCCTGTAATTTTAACAGATTTTATTTAAATGAATTAATATTGTCAGACATTGTCGGTACGGCTAATAGGAGTACTGTCTTAAAACACACATGTGTTCAAGTGCTTATGTTAACTTATCCTAACTCTAGCGCCACTAGGCGGTGATTAACATAAGCAGAGAGTTAAGCTATAATAATTCAATCAATATATGTTAGAAAAATAGAACAAAAACCGTTTAACAGCTTATTAAATTCTGCATCTATTGGACTAACGCACATTAAAATCGTACAACGTATACTTTAACATGAGATCAACAAGAAGAATTCTGTCTTTTTCAATTATGTGTGATATGATTTACGACTTACGATGTCAATAGGCAGAAGCGGGATGAAATATCTTATAATTAGTACACTTACATTTAATCATACATCAGAAAACTAGAAGTCTCTAAATTGATAATAATTATATAATGCGTAAAAGTATCAAGAGATGGTGTTATAGTAGACACTAAAAATTTATTTAATTAAAAAAATCTTAGCTTCATCCTGCGAGCATAATATTACAATCATTGGCCCATTTTAAAAAAATAAAGCGTCAGTTACTGTACTTGTTACTTTAAAAGTTCTTTTAAATTTTTAAATAACGGAAAATTACAAATTATTTAAACATAAATAAAATTAGAAGAGTTTGGGAGCCTTCTATAGATGTAACACAATAAAAATAAATATGCATGGGGTGGATGCAGTACACATCCGAAGAATCAGAGCAGGGCTATGAATAGAAGCCGGAAACCATCTTTCCAGCATCGTAATTTTCGACGGAACTATGGGGTTTCTGCTGCTCACGGAGAAGGGCAAACACTCCTTCCACTTCCTGGACACAACCAGATCAACTCGTCCCATCTTCAAAATGCAAACAACCCTTTGTCATCATCCCCTGAACTTACAAGTCGAGTCCCTACTTCAACCACAACTTCAATATCATCCAATATTAACAACTACCAACGCTCACACGCCGCCTCTCAAGTTCAAGGTATGCCAATTACTGAGAAAAATCAATATAATCAACCGTCGAAAATTATAAACGTATCTATTTTTGCCTTACTTCTTTTTTAAATTACCATCTTTAAATATGAAAAATGCAACTGAAAACACAAATAAATCCTAAATGCCCGGCAGTTCCACGTTGCCAAAGATGATTGCAATAGTATTAATTTATTAATCCCTTAAAATATATGAAAATTATGCTGATATAAATCGCAGAAGGTTAGAGATTTTTTAATTTTAATGTTTACGGACTTCCAGAGGTAATATTGACGAATTCGCGAGATACTTTTAAAAACTCCCAGATATTCAAATTTATAATAGACCCAATCAATTAGTTTTCTTGTAAGGATTTATTTTAACGAATTATTTTTTTCTGGGATAAACATCCGAGTAATCTGTGAAGGAACTATCATAACACTCACTTCCCACATAGCACCGAAAAATGTAAAAATATTTATAAATCTTTAAGTGCAAACTTTGTAATAATGAGTTGCAAGGTGTTGTAAATGTTATATAAATATTAAAATTTCCGCTCTGATTAAATATTAGGTGCGAACTTGACTAAACATTTAAATTAAAGCTTTGTTAAATGTTCATTTAATGTAACTTTAATTTAAAGGTTGAATGAATGTTGACTGGCCATTTAAATTAAAATTTCATTAAATGAACATTTAGCAAAGCTTTAATTCAAATATTCAGTGAACTTTTGCACCAAACATTTAATCATGGCTGTTATTATTAGCCGGGACTGGTCCCTATGTCGGACAGGAAAACAAGTAAATTACAATAAAACAGACAATTTGTAACCAATAGAACGAGTTTTAATCAAAAAACTAGAACACAAAGCACAATTGACCTTACAAACGTATTAATTATTAATTTTGTAGTGTATCAAAATGAGCGTCTCACAACGAGAATTCCACTCCAGCACTGCCAAATAAGTAATATGCCGTTAATGACGTATTCTTTGAAGCGTCCCGAGCTGGGAACCCCACTTCTTCACGTCTGGCCCCTTTTCATGTTGTCCCTAGCTGGAAAAACCGAATTTGTCGTACCCTTTTCCGCAGGGAAGCATCGTCCCTCCGTTCAGGTAGGAAAACTGCCTGTCTCCTTTGATGGTCTCTTCTCAGGTAACAGTTTGAAAGGCAATAAAACACAAACCCACCACCGAACTATCAGTAATTAAACGCGATAAGAATTAACTGCAACAAATTTTCAACAACTATAATTTTCAAGTAAAAATATCTAACCACAAATTTTTAACTTATTCTATCTAAATATCACCTATCCCCCCTTTCCCGCCATTTCTACTTCCTGTGTTCAATAATGGCGGACATTTTAATATTTATACAACCTTTACTGAATCTGGTAACACAATATTCCGAAGTTTGCACTTAATGATTTATAAATTTTCAGTAAATTTTCGTACAGTGGTATTTCCAGGGTATAAATTCATAATGTAACAGGACAGGACTAAAAAAATTAGTATTCTTTTTATGTATCTTACACAATTACTTTCAAAATATATTTTTAATACGTTTTGATTTTTCTACAAGAATGTCATGTTTCAGATTCCTATAAAAATTGGTCATCGTGTTCACATCCCAGCTTCTTTGATACCATTTCTCCATTGATTTTATATCCTGATAGTCTTCCTTCTTGTTCCTTACTAAAATATAAATCACCTAAATTGTCTGAGAAGTAGTTTACACGAGAATGCTAAAAGTACATACCTAATTTATGATGAGGAGAAAAATTAAGATTTTTCAAGACTTAACTAGTGGTGATTTTATAATGACCTTATTGTTAGACCCAGACTGATATATGTCCTATTCGGTCATATTAATATGGCCGCTTTTCCTCACTACTACCAAGGTAATGATGACTTTGACATAAACGATTTGTTCTTGCAGATGTCACATATTGTTTCGTTTTATTGGACAGTTACTCAATATATAAGGGAAAAGTGCCGGTTGTGGGCCATTCCTACGTAATTTTTGACAGCAAATAGATATTGCTGATCTGAATATGGTCAAACTTGTATGTTGACAGTACACAGTTTTTGTATTAATACCGAAGCGATACGCGCATTTTTTAGAAATAGTGAGCATAATAAAAATATCGTTAAAAAATGAAGGAAAAAGTGATTTTCTACTTTTTTCCAAGTGTGTTAAATAGGTGTAAATTATTAAATGGAATATTCGAATGGAATATTTTCATAATATTCCATTGCTTTATTTGAAATAATCCTTTGGAATATTCCATTGATATTCTAAGAATATAAAAATATCTGACCTTTGGAATGTCCCTTTGGAATATTGTAGAAATATTCTTGTAAGTTCGAAAAATATGATGTAATTTTTATTTTTCTTCAAGAATATTGATGTATTATTCTTATTATAATATTTTCATAATTTTTTATTTGAATATTCCCAAAATATTCCAAAAAAATATTCCTGTAGTAATCTTATGAAACATCCAAATATTCTTGCAACAATTCAAAAAGTGGATATTTTTATGCTCCTAGAATGTAAATGGAATATTATTTTAGAATATTCCCAATATTCTAATGGAATATTCCAAGAATGTAATTGGAATATCTCGTGTTATTAAGCAATTATCATTTTCATTTCAATTATGGTGGTTTTCCTTCATTTTTTTGCGGATTCTCTTAGTGTGCCCACAACTGGGTACAACTTTTTTTGACTAAAAGTGATCACTTCACTAAAATTTTAATAAAATCTTTCCAATTGAAGGAACCAATTTTTTTATACAGTTACCTAAGGCCTTTAGATTGCCACTGATACACACAAGTCTCATAATATGCATTTGGTTAAAAGTTATGAGCCATAAAGAAAAGGGTGCCCACAACCGGAACTTTTCCCTTACATTTTTGATCGTATGGTTACGTTTGAAATCATTTCATTTTCCGCATTAATCGTTCTTAGGAATAAGGTTAAATAAATGTTTACACTCACAACAGTTTATTCAGTTTAACTGTAAGTTTATTTATAATGTTACAATTATTAATTAGAGTAGAGTGGGGCACAATTACTATTTATTCCCCAAAGAGGGACTTGGTGTTGGGCTCTTCATTAACTCTAGATAAGGAGCTGCATTTCAAAATACACAAAATTGGTTGTATTTACCCCACTGTACACTATTTATGTGATTAGCACAATCTGCCTGTCCCATTAGTCTGATTACTTCCGTTACTTTTTAAAGCATCAAGGTAGAACCCAGTTCTGTGTCCCTTTAGAAGACATCCATTATTATAGAAAAGTCTAGAACTGAGAAATTAATAGTTTTAAAATTGTGTAACCTAATATTTTATTATTAACTAACTTTAGCACTTGTTGTAATAGAACTTTTGTGTTTAATTATTAATTGTATGTAGAAAGTCCAAGAAATATAAATTACATTTGCATTATCAAAGATGCATGCTAATTATATAGAATAGAAGACAAATCAGATTTCACATTCAATTAATGCCTACTTCTTTCAGGTGGAGCAGGAGACATAGACATGGCATTCCAGGTGGTGCAGCTCGCGACATAATTGATTATCGAACAGGGTATATAAAATCTCATCTTCGATCTCCATCAGGAAGAGTTCGGTGACTAATTTCCATACTGACTGAATAAAAAAATACTTTTAAATGAAAATAATTTGGAAAGTGGCGAAAAAATTTTTAAGTTTAAATATCTAAGGTTTAAAATATTGTTGCTCAATTATTTCTTTAAATATATATTATAATAGTATAGAAGCTAAATATTTATTTACAAATTCTTTTTCATGGTATTATTAAGACTATTTGTTTTTTTATTGAGTAATATAATTATATGAGATACATTTAAACAAATCCTGTATTAAAACGTTTGGTTCCATAAAGTTTGATAGATTATATACCTTTATGGCGCACTTGTTTATCAATTTTAATTTAGCGCTTGTGCGAAATTGCGGTATATAGTCTGTCATATATTTCATATCCCCGGAGTGTGTCAAAGTATGGATGTTACACTAAAATACTCTTAGTGTAGTTGTTATTAGATCATTAAAAATTTCCTTACTTCAAGAAGACCGTAAAAATTGAGTTATTTTAATAAAACTTTAAGAAAACGTACGCTTTAATTAAACAACATATGACTTTCGTTATCTGTTGCTGTTTTCGTTATTTATATGTGCGATCAGCGACATAAACTTCAAAATCTAAATAAAGTTTTAAAAAATAACATTAAGAATAAATTTATTTACTTTTATTATTCCATACAAGTAAAACTAGACGTTACACTAATGTCAAAGTAAAACTTATAAAATTTACATTTTTTTAACTGTCAAAATGCACTTAATCTCGACAAAAAATATATTCTTATTTATTAAGAATTAAACTATTTCTTTACAAAGTCGTTTATATGTTCAATGAGACTGTAAGTATAAAAAATCTTGAAAAGAACTAGCAAATCAGTAAAAAAAAATTTTAATTTATCGTCATGGTTGTTTAAAAAGGCTAATTTCAAATAATAGTCTTCAGTTAATGAGTAAAAAATTTACTTTATTTATGGAAGATTTAAAAATTTCTTATTGCAAAATTCCTCCATGAACATCTCCTTATTTACCGCAGTTCAATCTAGTACAACGAACTCGCAAACTAATCAAAACGAAGACAAGATAGCATCTACTCAAAGACAAACCAGGCTGGGGTCGACATAAGAAATTCAATAGGTTAAAGAAACTTTTATTGCTTCAATGACTGCAACGAATTTTATAAATAACATTGTGAAAGTAAAACAAGTAATTAAATTAAATAGACTTTATTTTTGACTTTGAGTATATGGACAGATATAAACATATTTAATTAAATTAATATATTAGAAAATACTTCAGGGGTGGACTGTTATCAATCTTTAAATAATCGAAAAAATCAACTAATATACTAAAATAACGGAGAAAAAAGAATTATTATCATGAATACATAAAACTTGTTATTTATAAACTTTATAAAAAAGAAACATCTGATTATTGTAAAATGTGGGACGTATATCTTAATTTTTTCAGGACGCAACGGACACATTTTATAAACAATTTTTGTAAAATTTTTCTCGGCAAGTAGAATATTTAAAAATTATGTAAATGTTATTTCTTATCTTTTTGAAATTTATCTTTCAGAATTCGAAAAACCGTTAAGTAGTAAATACTAAATTTTACAAAATTAGTTCACATTCTTAAAATTTTCATCTGACATTTTGAACTTTGAACTTCTAAGTTTAGAATCGTAATTACCAACCCAAAAAACCTTTCTATTGGTGGAATAATAAAAAACCGCCAAAAAGTAACTTGGGCATAACTAGTGAGTAACTTAACCGCTAAGTTAAAACTTTTCTTTCCTAAATGCTTAATTTATTTCAATTTGCAGGCGGAATTGTCGAAAGTATTAAAAAACTAAAATTGCGCATATTTTTTAAAAACCTGACGTTTAACGAAAATTTTACTGTGGATTCGAATTCAGGGTCAAAATTTATCTTATAGAGCCATGTTTCCAGAAGAAGAGTACTTATAATTAAAATAAAATATCATTTAATAAAAGCAAGTTGCTCTAATATTTCCCTACTATGGATTTAATAGGTTTTTAAGTACAAAACTATAATGGACAAATCGAAACATAAATTTTATAAACGGAAAATTGTATACACCTAATTAGAGGCTTCAATGTAGTTCCTACGCTCCTGCTTGTTTACATATCTGTTCTTGATGACATTGACCGCACTTTATTAGGGAGTATTGATAACATGTGCTACAGTAGATATGATTTACGTTTATTTTTGTAAAAGTATTTTACTACATAAATTTCTCAAATAAAACTAAAGGTAGAAATTAAAAATTAAAACTATATAATATTTTATAATTATGAAATATTAAATGCATGTTGTTATTTAATTTTTAAATTCTTAATTATTCGAAAAATTAATATTACTTAGAAAGCGACTTTGAATGTCAGGACTTGTTATCGTTATTAAATATAGACTGTTGATCATTCAGTTGAAAACGTTCTTTTTAACGAGATTAAACATTTATTTAAAAGCAATTTTAAAAAAGTATATTTCCTATTTTTGACAGTTTTTGTAAAAAAGGAAACTGTAATGAAGTTTCCGATATGTTTATTTTTTATGCTTACCATAGTCAAAGCTTTTCCTAACAATAAAATAAAACATTTTAGATACGGAAGGAGTAAGTAACATTCATTTTAAAAATTAAGTTCAAAGATTTTACCAATAAATAAATATAAGAATTTTTTATAATAATTTTTTACTGTTGTTTTTCGTTTTTATATAGAAAGTTTTTAACTGGCCTTACACGACAAAGGATAAATAAGATAAAATACAAGAAATTATAAAATTTTATTTAAAGAAAGACTGCTCGGTAAAAAGGCTTCAGTTAAAAAGTATAAAAAATACCTGATATTCAATAAAACTGTGAATTTATTAATTCTATTTAATTCGGGAAATTTCATCTTTTTCAATACTCTCAAAATGTATATAATTTAGAAAAATTTAATTCCTACTCTAAACCAACTTCTATTCCATATTAGACGAATATATTTCTTAAATTTTTAATTTCAAAAATATTTGTAAATTATGAATTCCGCTGAAGAGAAAACATTCATGATATTCTTTAAACCTAATCAATTTCTTCCGAAGTGGTCGAAGTGGAAAAGTTTCTATTCCAAAAGTTGAGTTGGTGGTGAAATTCCCCAGTGGGCACACTTGTTCAAAAAACGTCCTAAGGATGTTTTTTGCGGACGTCTTTTGTACTTGTGACAAAAGACGTCTTTGAGACGTCCTAAAAATGTTCTATGCCTTAGCCATTAGATTTCTTTCAGATGTATTAAAGACGTCTTTTGTTTCAAATTATGAAAATAGAAAAATTTTCATAAATAGATAATGTTATTTTCTTAGTTCAACTTGGACTTAGAAACTGCTTAAGATAAAAGTTATTGGAATTTTTCTAAGTAAAATTCATTTCATTGAGAAGTGAGATCGTAAACTTTCTGGTAGTTCATATCTGCCACATAAATTCATATATTTAACGGCTGAGGTGCTTAAGTCGCAATGCTACAAGCCCATGGTATCCGAGTTCGATCCCAGCTTCAGTGAAGTTTTTTCATTAATTCTGTATAATTTAAAAAAATATAAACTTAAACTTAAAATAAATCTAATACAGTATTACTGTATTACGTTCTAATTAGTTTCGACGTCCTTTTGAATGTATTTTAGACATCTTTTAGACCTGACATAGAATGCCTTTGAGACGACTTTTAGTTGTATTTATGATGTCTTCGAGACTTTACTGTCATTGTCCCCGGATGTCCTCTAACAAGATGAGATGTCTTTTAGACGTTTTTAAGACGTCCCTGTGCCCACTGGGAACTTAAGAACAGGTACAATTTCTGGTGCTAAACAAAGATTTCTGCCAATAAGGCGATTACATAGGATTTCTCAATTATCTGAATAGCTGAAATGTATTCTGCTAATCTACTACATATAACTGTACCGTAAAGAACAGGTAGGAGCTCAGCGACTGAACTTGCACAAGAAAATTTACAAGATCATATACAAGGATTTTCAATAGGGAAGTCTCTCAAATTATATTAAGTTTTGGCTTAATGTTTCGAATGAATGATTGCGTTTTATATATATTATTTAACTAAATGTATACTGTACATGTGAATTAAAATTTTTTATAATTGCTATAAAAAGTATTAATTAATACTGATAAAGATAATAATAATGATAAAGATTTTCTATGAGGCCTCTTTTCGAATTATCCACACAGCACCAAAAATTGCTACAATATTGCCATCATTGACTCAATTTTTTGCTTATGTCTACAATGTTGCTGCAATATAAGAATATTGAGTTAACTTTGCCAATATTTCTGGAAGTGTAGGTGCTGTGTGATTAGTTTTTACCTGTCCATATGTATTTTAATTATTTTGCAAATTTATGACATATAAATACTATTTAAAATATTTTGAAAATTTATGAAATATAAATACTATTTATTTGATAGGTACCCATATTTACTCACAAGAAAAATATTTTCCAAATAATATAGTGCTAAATTCTAATCGACATGGACTCAACAGTGAATTTCTGAAAATATGTAATCAGTTTATAAGCAATATACAAAACCAATTTGAAACATACCAAGAACAACTTAATCAGCAACAAGCGTAAGTATTTACAAAATTATCTTCCAATTTTTGACGTATAGAAACAAGCTCATTCTGCCTATATTTTTAAGTGTGACCTTAAAATGTCTAAGAAAATTTTCATAGAAACATACAAAACAAAACAAAATTCTTTAAAAAGCTTATGATATTTCGAGTAAAATGATATATTAATAAGAAACTTAAAATATCGGGTTCTTGAGATATCACAAAAATGTACGACAATGATTTATCTAAAAGACTAAAAACCATGGAATGGTAATATGCACGTAATATTACTTTAATATTACAATGTAATAAAACATCAATTTAATTCAATTCTTTACAATTCGTCTGCACGAATTCAATAAATGCGTTGGTCAATTCGTTTGAACACGTGAGCTTGATAAAAAACATTGAATTCGTTTAAATTTGTCCAGACATATCGGCAACAGTATCAAGTTGTCCAACAAGTAAAAAATTATTTTAGTTATGTATTTTATACATAAAATTCAATTCAAAACAATAATTTTATATATCAACTTTAACTAAATTATTTCTCGACC